AGCAGACAATGGGCTAATCACTTAATAGCCAAATAGCTCTTAGAAACTGGTAAGAAAGGGGCACTGGGTGGCTCAGTCAGTAAGCCTCTGCCTTCAGCTCAGGTCCTGGGGTTCTGGGTCCTGGGATCGAGCCCCATATCAGGTTCCGTGCTTGGTGGGAAGCCCGCTTCTCCCTCTCCCACTCCCCCTGCTTGTGTTCCCTCTCTCACTGTGTCCCTCTGTCAAATAAATAAATAAAATCTTTAAAAAAGAGAAAAAGAAACTGGTAAGAAAAAAAGAAACTAGAAAAAATGAGCAAAGGATATGAATAGAGTTCATAATAAAAAAGAAACACAAATTCCCAATAAACACATGAAAAGTTATTCTAATCTTACCTATAATTATCATGGAACAAAGTAAAACAAATTTTTCCCACCTCTCAGACTGACAAAAATGTACAAGATGATAATACTCAGTACTTGTGAAGATGAGGGGATATGTTTTTGGTGGATGTTAACTGGTGCAACTCTGGGGAGGGCAGTTTAGGAGGACTTTTCAAAATGAAAAATAAATGTAACCTTTCAATAACTCCACTTTTAGGACAACATCATAATCAATGTATATAAGAGCCATTATTTCAACATTGCTTTCAATAGACAAAAACATAAAAATATTCAGGGGGTGGTGAAATAAATGAAGATTCATTTATGCATCAAGAATACAGCAGTTATACCGTCTGATAGAGAAAGGAATTCATAATCTACAGTTTAGCGAAAAAAGATCTGGGACGATATACATTCAATGATTACACCGATTACTTAAAAAGATGTCCAAGATGTATCACTTAGTTCACAGCACACTGCGGAGCAGTACATACTGAACAGATCCCTTTAGGTTAAAGAAATGCTCGGACACAGAAAATTTCCCTCCCAAATCTCAAAGAACCTAGTTAGTAATGGATGCCTCTGAGGAAGGGAAAAGAAGATGTACACGGAATTAAGAAGAAACTTTCACTCATTACCATTTCATATCATTTGAACTTTTCCCTGTAATTATCTTCCAACTTAAAAAGAATAAAAATACAAACATGAAAATAAAAAAGGACTTTTAAGCATGAAGTAATGACGCAGGAAATAAGTAAAGAGATGATGGATTAACATGATTAGAATGGGTATAATTTCCACTTCCCTAACAGCTATGATGAGTTCAAATTTTTGCAAACATAATAAATGATATGCTAATAAATCTGAGGATAAAAACTGTTTACTCTTCATTTAGCAAAATAATAAACAGAGACAGTGGGAAATAAACATTTATCTTCCATCACTAGCAATTTAGCAACTCACAACTAGACTGAAGGCTTTGGTCAGCTTTGATTTTGTGTGAACCAATTTGTAGCATCCCTATCTGTTGCTATAGAAACAACTGTGACCAAAAAAAAAAAAAAACCAAACATAACCCTTATTATTGAATCTCCTCAAACAGGAAAAGAGGAAGGTCTTTCAAGGTGGTGAAAAGCTACATATAACCTTATTAATTAGCAAATGTAATAATAAAATTTCTGGACAGTATGCAGAGAGAAAACATATCCTTGTCTAAGTGTCATACATTTGCAGGCTTTTCTTAGTTTTGAAAGTATCACAGGCGAGCACTGTTCTGCTTTTGAAAGCCCTATTCTGTTAAGAATTTTATTTACTGCTTTTAGATCATTCTTTCATTTGTAGAAAGAGAATAAAGAGGTTTCTATTTAAAGTTTTTAAAAGATATTTTTAAGCATCCTTCATCTGCCTAAGCAATCAACAGTGCCATTTCTATTTCATTCTTATTAAGAACATGAGAATTTTAATGTAGATGTAGTACCTTTGGCAACAACAATTAGATTTTACTGTTCAGCCTGGTAGGTGTTGTCTTCTGCCACAAAAATGTCCTCTGAAGAGGACATATTGGGTTGCATCATATGTTCCTGACGGTAAGAAGAGGAGATGCTTATCAATAGAATGATGGAATCGTGTCAAGATATAGAACTAATGAATTGAAAAAGGAAAATCCAGCTTTAAACTTCTTTTGAGAGAAGGGCACCATTTCATGCTAACTGATGTAAGATGCTGAATGATGTAAATCAGTTATAGTGGTTCCTCTCAAGTAAGAGAAAACAGTAATAATGAGGATTGGAAGACTGATACAAAAAAGCTAGGTGCTATTTTATGCCTTTGTTAGAGTCCAAAGCATATAAGATTATTCAAGTCTATTTTCTCCCTTAAAAGCCAGCAGCAGCAAATAAAACTGGTCTCAAATTTAAGAATCAATTTTACTTAGTGTCAAATTTTTAAAAATAATCTGATATAGGAAAGACTTTAGGGTTTGAAGCCAACAGCTAAGAAAGAAATCTTGAGACATCTTTGGTGTAAAAAGGTGGTTTTATTAAAGCATGGGGACAGGACCCGTGGGCAGAAAGAGCTGCACTGGGGTCTTGAGGAGCTGCCGATTATATACTTTCAAGTTGGGAGGGGGTTAGGGATGGTGTAAGCCTCCCAGGTATTTAGGAAGGAAGGTTTCCAGGATCCTGAGGGGGTTAACTATTGTTGGGGAAAGTCATTTATTATTGTTTAGTAAACCCTCAGTCATGAGACCCTTCAGATGTATATCAGTGGGTCATATGCTTGGAAGATGATTGCCAACATGTATGGGGGGGGCGGGAGTGGGAGGGTAAAGGTAAAGGAAGTTTCCAAAGGAATCTCTTTATGTTAAAGTAGACTTACAGGGTCCTGGAGGTTGGGCTAAGATTACCTTTTGCCCTTGGCAAAGTATTAACATTTAGGCAGCTGAGTCCTTAGAGGAATGTCACTCTGCCTGTTTCAAGGACTTGTCAATAGACTATAAGTAATAAGGAAATTTGATGACTTTTCTTCTGCCTTTGTTTCCCACGTCATAATCTACAGATTTTCAGTCTGTGGGCTACAATACAATTAAGGAACAGTGAAATTTTAATTTTATGTACTTTTCTGAGCTACTAGAAAATCAGGTAAATCCAATACCTAACTGGGTTCGGGAAAGGGTTGGGAACAAATGGTCAATAAATAATTCCAGCCACTCTCATTGGAACAGTGGCGGGCCAAGCGGAAGACCAAATAAGCCTCTTTTACAAGAAAGGGAGAGAGGGAAGTTAATATGGAGCATCTACTATTCAGTCATTTCTTCATTAACAAATATTTGGCAAATAAAGATTCAGTAACGAGTAAGACTAAAATGGTTTCTACTCTCAAGGAGCTTGCCTTAGAAGGAGAAACACACATAAAACAGAAAAACAAATGAGCGAATGAGATAATTGCAAATAATCTTGAGTTGAACAGATTGCCAGTCAAGATGGTTCTGTAAGTTCACACTTTGGAGATACCAACCTTCCCTAAACACACAGCAATGGCAAAGAAAATACGAATGTTAAAATTAAAGACACAGATCATGCTCAGAAACAAGATGGACATCTTCATGGATAAGAGCACGAACAGAAACATGATGGTATTCAGAACATGCGAGGAACTCTCAAAACTCAATGGTGATAAACAAACAGTTCAGTTAGAAAATGGGCAAAAGATCTGAACATACATTTCACCAAAGAGAAGTTATGATGGTACAAAGGAGCACATGAAAAAAATGCTCGACATCATTAGCTATTTGGGAAACACAAATTAAAACCACAATGAGGTATCATCACAGACCTATTCGAATATCTAAAATAAAAATGGTAATGGCAAAAGTTGGTGAGGACACAGGAAAACTGGAGCTCTCATACACTGCTGGTGGGAATGCAAAATGTTATAGCTGCTCTAGAAAACAGTTGGACCTTTTTTTTTTTTTTTTTTTTTACCAAATTTAGTATGCACTTACCACACCCCTCAGCAATCACATCCTTAGACATTTATCCTAGAGATATGAAAACGTCACAGCCTGAATGGATCTCAAGAGTATTACATTGAGTGGTGGAAAAAAAAAACTATCTCAAAAGGTTGTATATTGTCTGGGTCCATTTACATAACATTCTAGAAATAAAACTATAGAGATGGAGAAGAGATAAGGGCTATCAGGGGATGAGGTGGTTAAGGGGTGGGGAGGAGACGGGGTGGGTAGCAGGACTGACTGCTTTTGTGTGGACATAACACTTCTGGATCTTGATTCTGGTGCTGGTTACATGAATCTATACTTGGAATAAAATTGCTTAGGAAACTGCCCCCCCAACACACATACATAAACACAGGTTAAAAAACTGAATACTGAATTGAAAATTTGGAAACTGAGTAAGGCCTGCAGTCAGTCAGCAGTAACATAGCGACGGCCATCTCTGTTTCGATACTGTGACTTGTACTACAGTCACAGACGATGCCAGCGGGGGGAGGGGGGGACGCTGGGTACTGGGTACTTGGGACTCCGTACCTATAGCCGCAGCTGCCTCCAAGTCTATAATTTTATTTCACAATAAAAAGTTTTTTTTAGATGAGGAGAGAAAGATGGACTGTTCAACAACCAAAATATTATTTATCTACAGGGGTGCAAAGACGATAAAACCCATCTTACGCTATATAATAAAATTCTAGAGGGCACAAGGAGTCCATTTAGAAGAAAAAGTCAGAGATCTTTATTATATTGGCATAAAAAGAATTTCTCAAATAAGATGTTTTTTAAAAGATCAGCTATAAAGGAAAACTTCGATAATCTAAACTTATTCTTATTTAAAATTGTGTATAGCAAAAAAAAAAAAAAAAGCCAACAAAAATGAAGTTCAAAGACAAGCACCATTTCTCTCAGAACACATGAAGCTGCAGCTGGAAAGGACAAGGAGACAGATTCTCCCCTTGGGGCCTCCAGAGAGGAATGCAGCCTGCAGACGCCTGGATGTGGGCCCAGTGAGACCCGTGTCAGACTTCTAACCTACATAACTGTAAAATAACACATTTGTGCTGATTTAAGGCCCTGGGTTGGTGGTAATTTGTTAGAGCAGCAACAGGAAATGGCTGCAAGTGACTTACCTCTGTGGATTTCCAAGCATTAGTCTTGACCAGTTGTGTTCCCTGGGACAACGCGGTTCCACTAGGCAACTGAGTGTCTTGGCACTGCTCTTGTCTCACTCCTGCCTTGGAAGTGTTTTCTGTCAACAACATAAAGCTAAGATTTCACTTTGGCAAAAGATAGTAACATTTTTACGTTAGCTCCCAATTTTTAAGCTAATTACTTCTGAAGATCCATTTTGTCTGCAGCAGGTACCTCATGGGCCGATGGTCATTTCAGTTTATCCCTTCATAATAATTGACAAATTCAGGCCGATTTAAAAATATAACTTTGATTCTAGCCTTTTTACCCATCAACAATTTTATTGTATGCTTTATTATTTGAAACATTTTTTTTAAATAAGGCACAATACAGTATAGAAAATTATTGTCTGACAATTATCCTTAGCAAAAGCAGGAATGACAACTAGAATTGTCCTAATTAATATTTAAAAGAACTTTATTACTGCAGTGTGAATTTCAAGTGTTCACATATATGAGGTGTAGGTTGTATGATGAGAAAGCACTTTTAAACAAAATTTAAAAAATTTTTAAACGTGCTATGCCAGTGAAATAGGAGATTTCTGCTTGTATGTTTTTACTGAATTTAATGATTTTGTAGTTGCCATTTTCCTTTCTACCTTTTCTTTTCCTGGGTGGGGAGGGGCAAAGGTGTAGGGAGAGAGAGAATCCCAAGCGGGCTCTGCACCCAACATGGAGCCTGTCACAGATTCTCAGGACCCTGAGATCATGACCTGAGCCAAGACCAAGTCAGATGCTTACCCGACTGAGCCACCCACGCACCCCTCCTTTCTTTCTTTCTTTCTTTTTATTTATTTATTTGACAGAGATCACAAGTAGGCAGAGAGGCAGAGAGAGAGAGGAGGAAGCAGGTTCCCCGCAGAGCAGAGAGCCCAATGTGGGGCTCGATCCCAGGATCCTGGGATCATGACCCAAGCTGAAAGCAGAGGCTTTAACCCACTGAGCCACCCAGGCGCCCCTCCCTCCTTTCTTTCTATCTGAATTACTGCGTAAACAAAGTATTACCGCCAAGTCTCTCTCAGCATGTTATTGGGTACAATAAGAAGTGTAAGGAAGTGATCTTCAAACCGGTATTTGCACACCACTGGGGTACTTAAAGACTTCCCAAAGGCCAGGTGAGCATAGATAGTTTTAAAGGACTCAATGTCCAGATCTACCACTTTTATATATACTCTTTCCAAAAACTGATCTGCCTAAGAATGGGACTGTGTGGAAACATCAGGCCAGTTCTTCCCTCTTCCCCTTTCATAGTCCGTTTCCTTTCACTTTACACAGACAGACCCATCCTCTTCCCATCTTATTACGATGCATCTTCCTTTATGCTGCCGCCCTTAGAACCTCGAAACACCAAACAACAGTAGAAAAGACTGGTGTAGGGAAGCCTCCTTCAATCAAGGCAGGAAAAACCCGAAGTAAAGCTCCAAAATTTGTCCTATTTTACACCTATTTCTCTTAATGGCAAAGCAGGACATAAATAGCACAGTATTTTGGTCCATACTGGGGTGTTTGGTATTCAGATCTACTACAGTATGGAAGAGCAGGACAGTTGACAAATTTCATTTAATGTCCTGTGCTTTTCATCCCTCAACTGTTGTCCAAAAATGCATCATTTCTGAGGAGGACAGAAGGAAAGCACAAGCATGGGAGACGGGGCACCTTCTTTCATCAACGCGACAGACTTACAACAAGGCTCCACACCTTAGCCATCTCCCCTAGGAGAAGAATTCAAGAACTTGAGTGCAATCACAGTGATGTTTATTTGAATGAAGTAAGAGGTTTTCTGAAAGAAAGTTGAAATCTGATCTGGCAGACCATTTTGACAATAAGGGCCGGCTTTGCCAACTAGGTAAGTATGGTCAATATTTTCCAAAAGTGGAATGAACGAGATCTGTAGTTCTGAAGAACAGCTGAGACATATTTAAAGCATATGAAATAATAATTATCTCAAAAATTGTTATACTGACCCATGTTCCACAATGAATGTTTTTCTTTTTCACACTTTGTGAGTATATTGTGTTAAAGTGTAACTGGCAATAATTAATAATCTGATAAATTTTAGTAAAGGTTTTTTTGATATTATTCCCCGAAACTGAGAAAGTCCATTACTCCTAATGACTGTTTAACAAATCTTTTTCTATGAGGGTTGTCTCCATTTCTTTGCTTTCAACAACACTGAAGACAGACCTAATCAAGTCAACAGCTGACAAGAGATGAAAACCATTTTTATAATAAATTACTATATAATTCTGGAATATTACTTAAAAGGAATTCATTGAACTGACTGACGTTGCTATAATAAAACACCTTCTATTCCCACCTACAATTTTATGTGAAAAAGTCTTCTTAGCATTTCCATCCATAAAAATGTAAAAGAGAAACAGAATTTATGCTGAACCCTGCTTACTTCCAGCAATAAGTAATATTCATAGGTTTCTCACAGAAACATGCATTTCCAATAAAATGGTATTCTTTTTGAGTATTTATAAAAGTTATAATATACTTACGTGGTTTTGGTTTTGATCAATTGTGTGCTAAAAGTAACTGTAATGATAAATCAATCTAGAAAGAATATTTTACCACTTAAAAGCCTCTGGACCTAGAAAATGTAATTTCAATTTATACACATGTTTGATGTAAAGAAGACTTCCAGGCATCGAAATACTTTCTATTAGGATGAAATCCTGCGAGGGATATGGAGGAGAAATATGAATTCAAGGAGAAAAGGAAATTACATGATGTAAAGCTTCCAACAGTTAAAGACTGTGTTTTTTCAAATGAATGGCTGCAGGTAGCGGTTACACAGTGTTTATGTTCCTTTAGATACTACGCTTAAAAGTCTCATAGAATCGTTTCATTTTGTTTTCTTTTGTTCTTAATGTCAATATTTTGAATTATGTCCTTTGCAGTGACTTATGATACAACTTCACATGGCAACCTAAAAAAAAATGCAGGAGGTATTTAATTTTTCAAAATCACTTTAGGGGCTATGCAAGAAAAATAGCTTGAAAACCAACAGTCTAAGACACGGTGGTCCTCGCCTTCAGAAAGTTTATAGCCGGACTTGGGAGATAAGACTGACACACAGACTTAATGGGAAACAATTAGAGGAAAATAAGACCTCTAATTGCCGGGGCTCCTGGGTGGCTCAGTGGGTTGGGCCGCTGCCTTCCGCTAGGGTCATGATCTCAGGGTCCTGGGATCGAGTCCCGCATCGGGCTCTCTGCTAAGCAGGGAGCCTGCTTCCCTCTCTCTCTCTCTGCCTGCCTCTCCATCTGCTTGTGATCTCTGTCAAATAAATGAATAAAATCTTAAAAAAAAAAAAAGAAAAGAAAAGAAGACCATGCCGAACTTTCTTAAATTAACTAACTTTGGGAATAAGCATTCTAAGGAGGAAAAAAAAACCCAGTGTGCACTAACCAGAAAGTGCCTCATATAGGAAGTAGAATTTGAACAAGGCTTTGAAGGATGACTAGGATCCTGATCAGTGTAGAATGAGAAATTATCCCAAGTAGAAGGAGCTACGTGGGCAAAAGGAGTATGATACATGCCAAAGACACTGAAGAAAGAATAAGAAATTTGCTTATGGCTCTAACTTTTCATCTTCTGCTAATGTCACATAAAAATGAATAATTAAAATGAGCTTTCTGGGGGCCCAGAGATTTTATAATGAATACTGGCAAACAGTAGTGGTTTGAGGCTTAGATCATCTCTGTACTTTCATGTGATTCATCAGGAACTACCTTTATGATCACTCTTTGAATATTCAGCAACAAAATTATCCTTCAAGTGATATGGACTTAGGTTTAGACATCACAAAGGTAGATTAATAACAATTGCAGGAAGTTAACTTTGAATTAAAGTGTGAAGAAAACTGAAGGACAGCAAGAACTGTGAAAGAAAAAAAATCTTGAATATTTAGAGGTACATTTTAGGCTAAACAGCTAAAATATTCTAAACCTATATTAAATAATCTTCTAGGGACAAGAAAGAAGGCAGTTAGAACATAGTGAGTCTATGGAAATTCATTGAGACTTTTTTTTTTTAGTACCAGCACAGCACTGGAAGTGAGGTGTGCTTAATTAAATTAGGTGATTACACCAGATTTATTTCTGGATTTTCACAAGCAAGTGGAAGGCGAGAGCACAAGTTTAGTTTCTTAGTGGAAATGAAGGCCCTTTGGTATCATACGCTATTTACCAGTTGAGACAGTGAAGTCACAAGCCAGGGGGACTCATGTGCAAATATGAAACCCCAGAGGGAAAAGTGAAGGTGCTGAGGCAGTGATGCTATCGGGTCATTCGAAGATGAGAGGTTAGATACCAAAGCTGGAGGTGCCAGGAGGAAACCATTGAGAGAGAGCCTGTAGATTTCAGTGAGCCTGTGCAACTCAGATAATACCGCAGAACTGGCAGGCCCTGTATTTCTTAGATGAGATAGCAAACTGACATTCAAACCATCAGACATTAACAAGGCCAGAGCACACTTTGGAACCGAAATATGGCACAAATTAAGTAAATTCCCAAATTCCTCCACTTATTACTTAATCTAATAAATAGTGTTGTTACGTATTGACAGCATCCTTTCAGGTGTAAGATAAGTCATTTACTTAACAAAATCAGCTTTAAAAAGAAAACGCATCTACCAAAGAAAATACTCCGTGGGCTGATGAACTGATAAGATGGGGAAGTCTCGTGGTGATTATCTTTATATCTAACTTTTGCAGAATCATGAGTTTGGAACCTTAACAACTTCGCTGTCTTGGAGCATAATTGCACTTAAGCATCTTCAAGTAATTGATGTTTGTTCTAATTTTTTAAACTTCCATTTCGTAATGATTTCAAACTTATGGAAACATTGCTGCTAGAAGACTACACAGAACTCCCAAATACTCTTCATCTAGGTTTACCATTGTTAACGTTTTGCTCCATTTGCTTTATAATTCTCTTTCCTCGTGGACACACACATATTATGATACTCCCATGTTTTAAACCTCGAGGAAAAGCCATTGTCATAGGTTGGGTTCCCCAGGAAGCAGATCCCAAGGCTCAAGTTTGTGTGA